TTTCCAATGATCCCGCAACTTTAAAATATTTGTATGAGAAGACATTTAAAACTTATTAAACAAATTTGTGCTTAATACATTAGAGAGCACATCCCACTTTGGCAGTACTATAAATTGTATAATTCTTAGTTATTAAAATGCGCAATTTAGATTACTATCGGAATTTAATTATTAAATACTGCACGATAAAATTCCTTAAATTGAAGTTTATATATTATCGGATCGGTGTTAATCTGGCGCTCAAGCCCGTAAACAAAACGAATTTTAGGAATTAGGGTGCGCCAGTTTTTACCAAGTAGAGTGGTGTGGTTATTTACTGAGTCTTAGCTTATTTAAACATCCTGGCCCCCTAGGCAAATATTTTGTTGCACATATTTCCAGTAAACGTTCCAGGTATCTCGGTGTACTGCTGTTGGAGTAGCAGAGCGCGCGGTATGCATGATAACGCAGTAGTGGTAGACCCATATTTACCTGTACGTGTAGGATGGAATTTTGATTTTGAAATGGGTATTATGTGTTTTGATTTGGAAGTTAGTGCGTTAAGCAAGCAACGTTGTTTTGCATTTATTCGATTGGTGGTTGTGACGACGTATTATTAGATGGTATAATTTTGTTTATTCATTTTATTGTCGGTTATCTACTATTACTTTATTATCGGCTTATAGGATCGCGACTCCACGCCTAGCTCAGATATGGCCAGAATGGGTGCTCATTTGAAACCTTTGAAGAGGGATCTAGCGAGACATTCTAGGACAACTATACTGTGAACGATATTATGTACGGGCATGGGCGATTGTGGCCAAGAATCGGGAGATTCGAATATCGTTTGGATTATTTGAGAATTGCGATTAGGATTTTCGCTTGTATCATAATTGGCGAAAGCCATCCTGCGGGGTCGAAATTATTATTGCGAATAATGCGGATATTGACTCAGTACGATATGAAAACTAGTCAGATATCGCATTCCATTCTATCCCCTGTATTTTTATATTGTTGGAAATTAGTGTCCAACAAATTTTCTTTTGGTATATTTAGTAATCTATTTGGAGGATTTGGTTGTTTTATAAATATTTGTGTTGTTAACACTGGGATTGTCAGAAAAAGCTCTGGCTTGGTTTTTTGTGCCAATTTGTGGTTGGTTGGAAAGTTGTGGCTTTAGTGGTAGTCGTACGACGTACCGGCCATTACTTGATCGAGTAGTTGTGGCTTTGAGGAAATCTTTACAATACTGATCTTCTGGGGTTGAAATTGACATGAGGGGGAGTTTTTCACACTCCCTAAATTTCCTCAATTGTGTATTCACGTATTCTTTAGAGTTTTCGTCAACTTGAGTTGTTGATATGGAAACTAGTTCTGTAACTAGTCCACTTAGAATCCAACCAAATATAGTGTTTTGGGCTAGAAGGGTGGTTGAAATTTTTTCTACACCGTCTATTATTATTTGCGGTATAAGGTCGCTGCCTATTATAATATCTATTTGAGCGGGGGTGTTGCAGTTAGGATCTGCTAGCTCTAGGTGTGAAACCTTTTGCCAATGCTTGCTATTTGTGTGATAGTTTGGAAGCATGTTAGTAAGTTGCGGTAGGACTATAGCTTCTGCTACAATTCGCTTATCCGCTTGGGGGGAAACTAGGGTAATGGGGCAGATTTTATTTGAGTATTGGACTACTCTTCCGCCCATTCTCGTGATTTCAAAATTTGATTGTTTTGTTGGCAGTTTTAGCCCATTTTGTGCCTTAGACGCTATGAAAGATCGCTGTGATCCTTGGTCTATTAAAGCCCTAAGCTTAAACAGTTCTCCTCGGTGTTCGATGGAGACGACTGCTGTGGGTAGTAGTACCCTACTTTGGTTTTCGCTGTGTAGCGTTTGAGCTTTTTGTGCCTTTGAGCAACATGGTGCCTTTTGGCAATTTTCGGGATTTTGGTTTTAGGAGTTGTTGTGACAACTGAACCTCTGGTTCTTTTTGTATAGTTGCTTCTTTGGGGGGATATGGGAAATTTGCTGTAATGAAGCATTGAGTGGTGTCTTTTGTGACAATATAAGCAATTGAATTTGCTTTAGCAATTTTTATACTTATGCGCATGTGACAAGCAATTTGTACAAAGTCTTTTTGATCTGACCAAATTATTTCCTTCGTTAACTTTTAAATTTTTAAACTTCTAGCAAGATTGTAGTTTATGCCCTCTTGTGCATAGTTCGCATGACGTACGTTTATTCTGTTCGGATGTGAACGATTGCGTTTTGTAAAAGCTTCTGTTTAAATTGGTTTCGCTACTGGCTTGGGGTCTATTGAAGCTTCTATTGAGGTCGTTTTGAACGTTTTTAGTTCTAACTAGTTTTTTGTCTACCCTTTCTGCTATTTCATCATGGGTAGTTAGAAATTCTTTAATTTGCTGCCACGTTGGGCAATTTTTCCGAGATAAGAGCGATTGCTCCCACAAAAGTAACGATTTTTCTGGCAATGCTGCGGTGCATATATTTACCAGAATAGGGACCCAGCTGTCTGTGGGAATGTTTTGTGTCGATAGAACCCACAAACGACTAGAAACAGTGGATTGTAGTCTAACAAATTCTTCACTTGTTTCTTTTTGAATTTTAGGCAAGTTTATTAGTGTCGTTACTTGTTTATCGACCAATATTCTTTCATATTCATATCTTGCTCTTAGAGCGTCCCAAGCTAAATTGAAATTGTCGTCAGTTAGTGCGAACTGTTTAACTATTGCGCCTGCTTGACCTTTAGTTTTGTAACGGGGGCGATACAATTTTTGCGCTTTTGATAATTTTGGATGGTTGATGTATACGGCAGTGAACATGTCGCGGAAAAACGGCCATTCTTCATAACCTCCATAAAATATTTCTGTGTCACATGCGGGCACCTCGAGATAGATGAATGAACTTACCTCTTGAATTTGTATTTGTGGCAGCTCTACTCGCTGATGTGGAGTAGGTGCAATTGCGTTTATAAGCTTTAATTTATCAGAAATCATAGCTTTTGTTTCTTCGTACTGGTCTAAGCAGTTTTCGTATAGTGCGTAAGCCGATGATTTAAAATTGTGTGGTTGATCTGAATTGTCATAATCTACTATGGCATCATGAGCCGTTTGGAGACGAGTCCAAAAATTGTCAATATTTTGTTTTTTATTTCCAATAACGATTCAGAGATGTCTTGAATCGGTGAAGATGAAAATCGAGTGCAGTATCGTGTTAATCTGTCACTCTCAGAAATGATTTTGGCAACCTATTTTGAGCGTGTAGCTCCTACAGGTGTAGTTTGACTTTTTTCGCCATTAACCATTTGTGTTATGTTATTTATATAATGTTTCAATGAATTATTAAAATATAACCTTTTATTTATTTTTTCAGTGTAAACTGAACTTGCGTGCGATATGATTTTGTTGTGGTTTTATTTTGAATATATTGCTTTTGACTTTGAAAAGTGGTACATATGCGTATGTACTTAAGTTCTTGTTAAAAAAATTTGATGTGTTTATATATTAGGTCAAGTAAAAAGTTCGTTCGGTTTTTATCTAAGAGATGGCGCTATTGTCCATAGTACTAGTGTTACGTGTCGACACCGCATCATGTTATACTATACGGCGCTGAAAACGTGTTTATAAGCGCTAAAAGTTTGTCTTTGACAGTTTTTCGATTGATTTGCTCAGTTCGTTGTGAGCGCACGTCAAAGATGGACACCAACAAAGAGAAAATTCGCTATATTTTACAAGTTTATGGGCCCGATACTGTAAACGAACGTGTAGCACAAAAGTGATTTGCTAGGTTCCGTTCCGGTAATTTCGATGTCAAAGATGCACCACGCGTCGGGAGGCCTGTCGTCGAAAATTGCGATCAAATCATGGAAATAGTGGAAACAGACCGTCACGTGAGCACTTATTCAATTGCTGAGAAACTAAAGATAAGCCAGAAAACCGTCTGGAACCATTTGCATAACCTTGGATTCAAAAAGCAGCTCGATGTTTGGGTGTCACAGGAACTAACGCAAAAAACATGATGGACCGAATTTCCATCTGCGAATTGCTGCTGAATCCGTTTCTGAAGCGGAATGTGACAGGCGATGAAAAATGGATCACTTACGACAATATCGAGCGCAAACGGTCGAGGTCAAAGCTCGGGGAAGCGGCCCAGACCAAGTGGCCGGTGGCCAGGACCGGCAATTCCCACAACAGCCGGTTATGCGGTACCGGAATTGACCCGGATTTTATCCGGCCAAGGGCTGTTATTTCGGCGATCTAACCCTGTTTGGATCGGTGAGTTTTAGATTAAGTTTGTCGTCATTGGAGCAACGCCTAGCAGCAGGGTTGCTCCGTATCCTCCTGACCCGTGCTGGCATCGAGTCCAACCCGGGCCCCGAGGACTTTTACTGCTGCGTTTGCGCTAAAAGGCTCCATCCAAACTCCACCTCGGTTAGGCGCAATACATGCAATGGATGGAGCCATCTTAAGACCTGTTCAGGCCTTAAGACACACAGGGAGTGGACCACAAGTTACGTGGCCCCATGCTGTCAACGCAATAATGCGACATCTGCCCCAACGGCTGTGCAACCTGCACCATGTTCGCGCACTGCGCTGCCACTACAGTCGAGTGGCCAAGATAGGACCTCCACGACCCTAAGGAGCTCACACAGACAGCATGACTCCCAGTCTGACCAACCTTCCCCCCAACCTTCATCCAGTTCCAATCCCTGTGCGATAACCACCCAGCAACTCCTGGTTCCTTGCACAGTCTGTTCCATGTGTCAGACCACAATACCACTTTGCGAGAGTATAAAATGTTCGGTTACATCCAATCGAAAGTAGAGATTTCTGATGTTTTTTTACACCTATACCTTACTTCTACTGTGAAGCTAGTTAATTTCCGTACGAAAATATAGTTTGAACGGTTCTTCAGGGGATGAAAACGAAATTGGAGAGTAAGACTTTCATATGGTTACTAAAATTTAAGAATAATAAGGTAATTCTTACAATATAATTAAGTAACTTACCTGCGGGAAGAGTTTCTAACTCTCCAACAATATTTAATAACTCAGTGTGCGTTTGCTTAATCATTTTCTGTCTGTTCTACAGTCACCTAAAATAAATTCATAAATTATATTCATTATCAAAAATTATTATGCCATAATCATTATAGCTATCATGAAATGAAGAAAAAAATAAGAAAGAAATTAACTTCGGCTGAAAGGTTTTGTCAGTTTTTTCTAGCCAACTTCCAATTTCGATTTAATGTTACTTAATAAGAAAAAATATCTTCTAGGAAGACACATACATATACATTGTAAGAACAAAATATCCACCCGGAATTTAGCCCACACAACACATGAAGACGCACCATGTTAAATAAATACAACACTGCGAGTATACAAGCTCTCATACAAAGCAGTTAAACCACGCTACTTCTAGCAAAACACGCCATCCTAAAGCAACATGTTGCGACACAACAGTAAAACCACGCAACGTAAACAACACAAAAAGTATTGGGCTGCAACGGGAAAAGAACGTCACTTCTAACAATACACGCCATCCTAAAGCAACATGTTGTGAACGCGCGCGCAAGCAACACACGGCTTGGCGGAAAGGTAGCAGGCTCATCAGCAGCTAGTCAGCACAGGACTGTAACAGCGAACACATGTACGACACTAGACACAGCAGTGCTCGCTTTTTAGCATTTCGATTCGCTAGCGATCAGTTCTCCGAGCACCCGTATTAATCGACTCCTTTTTTCCTCAATAATTGTGCCAACGGTGAGTGAATTTAAAATTAACTTAATAAGTATTTAAATATGGCGATCCTCTGGCTAGTCTTAGTGTGTTAAGTTGTGAACGCCGTTCGTTAAGGGTGAGCTCGGTAGTGAGTTGATCCTCTGACCAACTCAATCCTTAACTTTCGGTCGCCAACACAGTCTCCTATGGTCCAGAAGTACTTTTTCCACGGCTATACACTAGTGCCGGCAGAAACATCCGAGCGTCGTCGTCGTAGCACACACGAGCGTCAACGGACGCAGCGGTAGAATCGCCGTCGAAGCCTATACGAACAGTGGCAGAATCGTTGTTGTAGCACGTATCCGTCGGACATCATCACCACAGGACGTAAACGTAAGTCATCCTAAGTCGCTTAGCAACCCCAGAGCGCGGTAGAGTAGAATACGCTATCGTATAATAACTATTCAACGGGAGCGCGGAGAGGCGGAAGGCGCTACTGCGGTAAGGAGTGAATGTCTCGCAGTGAGTCGATCAGAGGATCTCACTCAGGCATTTCACTCTTTACCGTACGAAGGCTGGAAGTCAATCGTGAAGTGGGTAATGAGTCGATCCTCTGACCTGCTCCACGCTTGGCATCGCGGCCGCTGCCACTGTCCTCCGTAATTCTGCGTGATAGTGACGCGCTAACAGGCAACGCAAACCACTTCTCTGCCATAGCGCTATCTTCGGGTGACGCCACTACAGCACGGAAGATACGATTTTGTACAGTAAAGTAAACGCAGGAGAAATTGTAGATGTATGGAAATTTAATAAATACGATTTGTAAGAAGCCCCATAGTTTACAAATTTATTCTAACGAACCCTGGACACGTAGAGTATACCTCAGCAAATCCCAAGAAGCCGGGGCAGCTAAAAACAGCTTCGTAACAACATTGTTCATGCGACTTCTGATCCCGCGACATTTTGCAACTAATCACACAACCCACCGTACAACATCATACAACACAACATAACACAATGCAACATCATATACCAACTACAACACAACCATATACAACTAACCAACCACACTATACACCGACACTTCAATCATCATCTTTTTCACCTCCCAAATAAACATAAGGATTGTTCAGACCAGAATGGTCTCTTTTTGTTTCTCGACACCCGTTCGTAAAGCGAAAACGTTGCAGCGCAGTTTGTACGGAAGTGCCCTAAAGTGAAAATCCAAATCAAGTGTATTTAACATAAAAAGATTTAAAAATATTATATTGTAATATATAAAAGATAAATTGTATTTCAATTATATTTGCTAACCGAATTCTGAAAGAATAAAAAACAAAAGCAAAGTGAGTAACCAAATGGTTCTTTAAGCAACCTTGAAAGGCACCTATAAAAAAAAAAAATAAAGTGAAATCTTTTCAAAAAATAAGTACTTACAAGTATATACATACTATACTTAGTGGTTAAATTAAATTACAACAAACGGGCGCGAAACCAACTAATATATAAACCAAAAAAATAAAAATAAAAGCGGGCGCAATACAATACAACATAAGTGAAACAACCACACTTACAATCACTTAAAAAAAAAAGTCTACATAAGCTACCGGAGGGAACCCTAATAAGTAGTATTGCTACCCATAAGCCCTTGGCGGAAAAAAGTAAGTCCATTCCAATTACATTTGCAAATAGAGGCATTTTATGCACATATGTACATATGTATGTTAATTTACAGTTTTATCAGTATTTCGGTGTAACAGCGTTAAAAATACAAAGGGCCGAGTAATGATGCTATGTGTCGTCAGCTATTAGACCAACTTTATTTGCAAAATTCTTCTCTTTAAATAATATTCTAAGCAATATTACGATACCGGTCAATACATAATTTCCGCTAAGTACATAGTTTCGTTTCTATTAGTGCATATATACATAAGTATGTAAATTATATAAATTTAACAGTTAATAAAAGGAGAATAACCCAAGTACATACTTTACTTTATTGCTCCTTTGTCTATAATGTAGTTATTAACAAAAAGAGATATATAAAAAATGGGAACGCAGCATTACAAGAGGCTGCTTACATATTAAGCTTAGTACATGTTAAATGGGACTAGCTAATGTGCGCAAACAAATATTCATGTAATTGCGTGGACGAAAACATAGTGGTAGCATAAGTGTACAAAGCAAGAGCAAGCAAGCAATAAATTTGTAAATCGGCATTTATGTATGTACATATATTTTCCTAAACATTGGCACATTTCCCGCGCTACATATATACCGCAACCCAACCTTTTTGCTCTTCTCATTTATCTAATACATTCTCTTAAAAATATACATATCAAATAATATAGTTACAAATATGTATATATATATATATTATATAATAATAATACCAGGCACTCTCTACAAAACTTTGGGTAGCAAGCTAAAAATATTTACTACAATCATAATATAGCAATTTTCTTTTATTAAATTTAATACAAAACTATTTTAATAGCTAGCTAATAGCTTTCAATTTAATTCAAAACAATATAAATGCAATCTGATAAATCAAAAGAGGTTAAACCACGAACACCTCTATTATTAGAAATTCCAAAAAAGACTGATGATGATAAAGCACAAGGCACATCCGCAGAAGCCACACGCTCAAAGCAGGGTGCAAAGCAAAAAAGAACCAAAGACAATTCACTGTCAAGGTTCATAACTGAAAGTGATAGTTTTATTAGATACTGCACACAGTTTTCGGCTTCGCCTATTAACGACAATAAAGAATCAGTTCTAAATTTAAAAATTCAAAGCATAGATAATATTATATATGGGTACGAGTTCTGGCAGCGTACGATTCAATATTAGATACTGACGACGCTGGACTCCTAAAAAACATTAAAGCATGAAAACTGCCACGATCAGTACGAAACTAAGAAAGCAATGATATTAGAACAAATACATTTATTAAGGGCATGTAGAGCCACTACTCCTCCTCCAAGAACAGTTACAAATCCAAAAGAAAACCTAGATTCAGGTATATTTTTAACAATACCAGTTTGTGATACTGAAGTTTTTCATGGAGGTTATGATCAATGGCCGTCCTTCTGGGACCTTCACTGCCGTGTACATCAACCATCCTAAACTTTCACGAGCACAAAAGCTGTACCATCTCAGGTACAAAACAAAAGGGGAAGCAGGCAGTATTGTCAAGCGTTTCGCTTTGAATGACGAAAATTTTAATCTGGGTTGGGATGCACTGGTCGAAAGATACGAAAACGAAAGAGTATTGATAGAAAACAAAATAACCATTTTAATGGTACTACACTACCTTTGCTTTGAGAGCAATCACTAGTGTCAAGAAAAAAATCGCCAAAATGGCATCAAATGAATTCCTCATTGTTTAATATGAAATAGCTGAGCGAGTAGACAAAAGAGAGTTAAGCCAAAAAGGTCATCAAAAGGACTTAAATAAAATCTTTTTTAAACCCCAAGTCAGTAATAACACACAATATAATAGACACATTAATATAATATAAGCCAAACATTCGTGTCAAACCAAACAAATCATTGGCAATCAGTATGTGAAATCTGTAGAGGACATATTATAAGATCTTGCGAAAAATTAAAAAAACGCCGTTTCAGATAGAAACAATCTTGTTCGACAACATAAACTTTGCATCAACTGTCTGCTTAATTATCACGGGACAAAAGACTGTGAAAGCAAATTCAGTTGTGTGTACTGTCAACGACGACATCACTCATTGCTTCACATAACCAATTTTACAAATATGAAGCAAAATCATATACATAAAACCACGGGCCTAGTCGCGACAACCAAATCAGGTAATCTTGAAATCCCGAATCCCGAAAATAAAGAGGAACACCCATGTTGCTCAAAATGCAGCAACAATTCAAGCTCTTCATTCAGAGAATGAAAGCAAAGTTCTTTTACCCACAGCGTTCATTTCTATAGAACATAATGGAGATTCATTCAAATTAAGAGCATTAATAGATCAAGGCTCTCAAAGATCCTTTATATCATCAAAAGCTCAGAATCGGCTAAAATTGCCAGTCAAAAATTCCAGTTTTAAAATTTCAGGAATGGGCGGAAGAATTATACAAAATTCAAATATAGTTTGCCCAATCACCGTAGTCTCTCCAAACACGGATATACGAATAGATGCACAGGCCATTGTTCTACCGCAGCTCACTAAATTGCTTTCAAGCTATGAAGTAAATAAAAAACAGTGGGTAAAATGCTCATATCTCAAATTAACAGATCACACTTCGACATATTATTGGGCAGCGACTTAATACCTCAAATAATTCTTGAAGGTATTAAGTCGAATCAACCCCAGAAGCCGCGTTTCTGAGTTGAACACTA